TTTTTTTATAAATGCATTTATTTTGAATTGTAAAATTTATTTTTGCATTATTTGGTAATATTGTGTAATTATTAAATAAAATAAATATGTTTTCTTTATTTTTCATTGTTTTTATTTTATTTTTCTTTAAAGATATTTACGGACCGAAAACGGTCTGGATATAGTTTGAGAATGGCGCCAGTTGGGAGAGAAACTTTTAAAAGTTACAAGCAAGTCCAACATATTCAGACTGAAAACGGTCTGGATATAGTTTGAGAATGGCGCCAGTTGGGAGAGGAACTTTTAAAAGTTACAAGCAAATCCAATATATTCAGACTGAAACTGGTGTGGATATATTTTCAGAATGGAGCCGGTTGGGACAATAATTTTTAAAAGTTACAAGAAATTCCAACATATTCGGACCGAAAACGGTCTGGATATAGTTTGAGAATACCACCGGTTAGGCGAAGAACTTTTGAAAGTTACAAATAAGTCCAAACTTTTCAGACCGAAAACGGTCTGTACATAGTTTCCGAAGCGGACAGATTGAGGGCGCAAGTTTTAAAAGTTGCTGCTGGGTCCTCCATATTCGGACCGATCCTGGTCCGAATATATTTGGTATGCCTCTTTCCGTCACATTTTCAGACCGTTTTCGGTCCGTACATATTTTATTATTTTATTATATTATTTTTTTCGGACCAATTTCGGTCCGCTTATTTCAATTTTTAAATAACCATCTATATTTTTTACAGAAATATCCGGACCGGTTTTGGTCCCTATATTATATATATACGGACCGATTTTGTGTCGATCTGTATATTATATTTTTTCATACCAGGTTTTTTCAGATTAACTATAGGGACCAATATCAGTCCGGATATATATATTCGGACTGAAATTTCGGTCTGAATATCCGATTCCTGCAGTAGTGTAACTCCCTTAAATTGGGTTTTATTTTTTCTTAAATTCTTTTTATCTATTATTTGATATTCGAATGTTCATAATTATGATTTTAAATTTTATTATTTTTATTATAAACTAATTTAGTCAACTAGGATAAAGATGTAGCCTAATCAATTCAATTTGGGTTTTTATGATTTTTACACTTTTGATATTGCTATTCCATGATGAGTATATATTATTGGTCTTAATGCTTTTTAATGCTTGATCACCATTAAAATTGATTTGGAGAGCATAATTGAGACCGAGAGGAGATTTTATGCAATAGCTTCTAATAATAAATACCATCAATTAAACGAAAGTCAGAGATGAACCAACGTGATTCATGCAGTATTAGTAATAAGTGAACTTAATTTTATACATAAACTAGGGAATTTCACAGAACAAAATGCATTTTTATCTATTTAAATTCACATAGAGATATAGTGGGTTAATAGATGAAGATATATTTGATATAACTTGAGAAAGTATATCAAATAGAATAGGAAATCCCGTTACATAAATAATAAATACCTTAGAAATATAATAATCTAAATTCTATATAAGTTGATTATTGTGAAATTGGATACCTTAGAATTTTAACTTTTGGTGTTACTTAAAGTCAATTGAGTTTTTCTTTAATTAGTTAGTTATTTAGTTTATTTAAATCATTTAATTTCAATTGTTCAAATAAAATTAGAATTGATTAATTTTGGTACTTAATTAGTCTACAGTCTCTGTGAGATGATACTCTATTTTCATCATTATATTACTTGAACTGACTAGTACACTTGTTAGAGTAGAATTAGCTCATCAAGTTTTTATCTTGATATTAATGTAAAATTTTTATCTTGATATTATTGATATTTGGATGAGTTTTATGAGATTTTATAGGGCTTTCATTCATTGTGGCGAAAAGAACTTGAATACATAAAAATAGGAGTCTGTGGGATTAATTAAACATCTTTTGAAAGTTGAGGGACTAAACTGCAAGAAGAAGGAGCCTCTTTCGGACTTAAATGAATGAATCTTGAGTTTTGGGATCTAATTACTCATCGTACAAAAGCTTGAGGACTAGATCTGCTATTCTACCATTAAAGAAATTGCAGGGAAACAAACTCGACACGGGTATAGTGTCGACACCATGCGTTAAGCATCCAGAATTAGACCTTTTGTTTCTTGTTTTGTGTCGACACGTAATTCAGGATGTCAGCACCATGCATTCAGTATCCAAAATTCAAGTTTTCTATTATGTTCTAAGTCCTACTTCTATTCCAACTATGATTTTTAAAATCCTATTAATATCCATCTAAATGCAGAATTAATGGAGCTTTAGGAGGCTGGTGGTAACACTTTTTTGGGCATTATTTAAGATCAAAATAGAGGTTTCATCGATAATAAAAGATTAAGGAGTCTAATTCCTTCAAATTGAGTTTTGTTTTTCCTTGGATTCTTTTTATCTATTATTTGATATTCGAATGTTCTTAATTATGATTTCAAGTTTTATTATTTTTATTATGAGCTAATTTAGTCAAGTAGGGTTAAGATGTAGTCTAATCAATTCAATATGAGTTTTTATGATTTTTACACTTTTGATATTGCTATTTCATGATGAGTATATATTATTGTTTTTAATGCTTGATCACCATTAAAATTGATTTGGAGAGCATAATGGAAACCGAGAAGAAATTTTATGCAATAACTTCTAATAATATATATTATGAATTGAACGAAATTCAGAGATGGAGCAATGTGATTTGTGCAACATTAGTGATAAGTGGATTTAATTTTCTATGTAAACTAGGAGAATTTCACAAAACATAATGTACCTTTATCTATTTAAATTCGCATAAAGATATAATAAGTTAATAGATTAAGATATGTTTGGTATAACTTAAGAAAGTATATCGAATAGGATAGGAACTCTTGCTGTCATATAAATAGTAATATCTTAAAAATATAATAATTGAAAATCCATATTAATTGATTATGGTGTAGTCGATGCCTTAGAACCTCATATCTTGATTAGTTTTATTTTAATTGCTATTTTCTTTTTATTAATTTTAATTAAAATTTCTTCCTTTTCGATTGTTCAAATAAATTTGGATTAATTATTTTGGTAATTAGTTAATCACAATCCTCGAGGTTAGACACTTTGCTTATCATTATATTACTTGGAGCGATTAATATACTTGTTAGGGTAATTTTAGCGCATTAATATCTATAAAATTGACCAAAAATAACAAATCAAACAATACTAAT